TAAGAAATTTTTCAAAATGCATATAGAAAGTAGAATTTTATCAACTTAACTTTTGAAAATGTTTCAGAAATACTGACATTTTAAATTAAACCTTATGTAATGAAATTTATTTTGAAAAAAACAAATTTGACCTCTGGACTTTTATTGTTGAATTAGATTTGATATGATAAAAGTAGCAATGAATTTTTACAATTAGAATCAAAATTTATAATACGCTCAATTGTGTAGATCTTTTTAACTATGATTTTTATTTAAGTGATCTATTACGATAAAAATGCAAAAAAATATCGAGCTTTTTTGATAAATTTATTGTAAATAGTAATTATAAAATTTGCTGACAGCATATTAATCTTAACAATACCTTTTTTTTCTATTTAATGATGTCTATTTCAAACATGCAAGTTGAGCTAAAAGTTATTGTAATAAAATCATTATTTTTTTTTTATTATAAACTTTCACAAAAAAAAAATGTAGGTTAAAAATGATTAATCCGCCAATTTCCTAAAATTAAACATTATCTACAGATTAGAAACCAAGCGTTTCTTATGATAGTGATTTTAAGCACTGTCAGATTACTTCTATACTGGACCCAACTATTACACGTCTCCTATATGCCGCAACACCACTGTGCTGGGCTTTATTCAATTATTTATGTGTATCTTTTAGGCATAACCAACCCATTAAGAAAATATTTATAAAATATCCATTACTTATTGAAAAACGTGAATTTCAATATACGTCCTTCTTCTCCCTGATCTTCCGCATTCAACGCTTCCATTTCGTCATCGCTCAATTTAAAGTCAAATACCTTTTTAAATTAAAATTAAATTAAATTATTCATTTAATATTTGATTGGAAATTTCAAATTTGGTATTACTTGTATATTTGCAGCTAAACGTTGAGGGTTCGTACTCTTTGGTATAACTATAATGCCTTTTTGAACAATGTGACGTAACAGAATTTGTGCAGGAGTCTTATTATGTTTTTCTGCTACCTTCAGTACAGTTTCATTTTCCATAAGCTCAGGGCGCTTAAGTGTAAGTCCCATTGATTCTCGGTTAGCTCGAGTACCTAAACACGAATATGCTGTGACAGTAACATTGTTTTCTTTACAAAAAGCAATTAGTTCAGGCTGCTGAAGATATAAATGGTGTTCGATCTGAAGATTATCTGGTTTTATTCTACTGTTGTCTAAAACTCTTTTCAACTGCTTGATATTGAAGTTTGATACTCCAATAGCTTTTGCACGTCCTTTGTCTATTTGTTCTTCCATAGACTAAAAATATAAAGAAATAATTTTCAAACTTAAAATAGTTTGATATATAAATAATAAAATTTAATTGTGAACAAAATAGCGGCTACATAATCATAAAATCCCATAATTTTTATATATACAACTAAATAAAAAATTATNTTTATATATACAACTAAATAGAAAATTATAGATATGAGGTATTGAGTATGAAGTCATTAGATTTCATAATAAATAATTATTTTTAGCAAAAAGAATTGTTTTAATCAATAATTTCGTATGAAATCTTATTTCATCTTCATCAGTTTCTGTAACAAAAATCGATTTTAAAATGCTACCCTAGTAATCATCTTACCTTCCAAATTTTAATATGATCTGTTGATGTATCCAATTCCATTGTTGCATAGTCGTCAGGAACTTTACTTATCAAACTGAATGGAACATGAATTAAGTATAGGTCAAGATAGTCCAACTGCAAATCTTTTAAACTTTTTTCTATCGTTTTTTCCAAGTCTTCAGGTCGATTAAAAAAAGGTGGAAGCTTTAATTATAAAGATATATTCCATTACATGTTTTTAGTATACAATAGAGTTATAATATATAATTANAATATATTTCATTTCATGTTTTTAGTATACAATAGAGTTATAATATATAATTAATTGAACATTAAAAAAATATATATGTTTCTATACCTTAGAAGTAATAAAGACATCTTCTCTGCTGATTTGACCAGATTCAAACCATTCTTTTAATACTTCACCAATAACATGCTCATTTCCGTATGCGGTAGCAGTATCAATGTGCCGATAACCAGCTTTTAGTGCTTCATTTAAAGCTGTTTTAAGTTCACTCTCTTTCGCCTAAAATATTCAAATAATATTTTATTACAAAATTTTGAAATAATTTTATATTGGTGATATCAGTATCATTAAACTTCAAGTGAAATAGTTAAGTGAATCATATTTTAATAAATCCAACAATAGTAGTTTAATACAAATTTAAGATTAATTACTTATCAAAACATATTAATGGTGCGTATTAACGACTTTGACATAGTTTATTCTATTATATTAAAAAGCAATAAAACAACTAAGAAGTTAATTTGACGGTTATATAGTTATTGATATATTCTATTCATTATTAAATACATTGAATTATTATTATGAGCTAAAATATAAATTGGACGTCTTTTTTCATAAAATATGAAATAAATATCTTTGATTAAATAATAATGTTAAATGACCCAATAAGTTGTTAAAATGTACAAGAATAACTTTATTTTAAAATAACACTTAAATAATAAATGCTAAATACAATATAGTAAGTTAAGACATCACTATTAAAAGAATCTAAAAACGAATTTTAGTTAATTAAATATAGACTTCAATAACACAAAAATAGTATATATGGTCGAGTATTAACTAGTAACGTATATTAACTATCGAACCATTCGATAGTCAAAAACTATTCGATTAGTAAAAATANATAACTATCGAACCATTTGATAGTCTTTCAAAAACTATTCGATTAGTAAAAATATTCCATAGTCTTTGCTAAAAATAATCTATTCGGTTGTTTAAACACAATTTAAATAGTTAATCAATAGTTTAAAATATTTGAAAATGCCCATCACTAAATTTTATTATTATTAATTGTTTAATACTTTATTTTAATTATTCGTTAATTGTTTTCTCATTATAATGACGTGTACTTAATAAAAATTTTAGGTAGAACTAATCTAATATTTTTTGAAAACATTAGGTAGCCCATTCGAATAGTTTATTGTAAAAATAAACTATTCAGTTGTATAAAAACAATTTGAATAGTTATTCGATAGTTTAAAATATTCGAAAATGCCCATTACTAGTATTAACGTTTAGAAGATTTTTATAAACATGAAAAAATGTGTAAAAACCTTAATTGAATTTGGCCTCTTTTAAATATATAGAAATTTTTAATATAAAGCAAAAGACATTAAATTTTTTATAAAATTTATCTATGAGAGTTATGCAGCATATCAAATCTATTAAAAAAGAATATTTTGTGTAATTTAATAAATTGATATCAAGTTAAAGTACACATTATGTTTATACAACAACTTAAAAAATAAAACATTATTATTACATCCTGTTTTCGAGTTTCAAAAAAAATAATACTAGGTCATATAATTGGGATGTTAATTAATTTGTCAATACAAGTTAGGAAATAAATTATATTGTCCTAAAAGTATAGTTTTTTATTAAAGTATAATGAAATAGTTAAATCATTCAAACGTATAATATCAACATTTATACACGCTTATATTAGTTTCACATTTATATTTGTTGTAAGTTTGTAACTCTCCACGTGCCATGTCTTATTATTTTTGCGTACCCGGTTGTCTATGACCTTAAGACTAGACTGTCGTAATGCATTTACCCCATCCTGCCACCACACGCCGACAACACTAATCCTGTATAATTTTTTTATGGCGATATTCGCAGATATATAGCCATTATTATCAATAGTAGTAAGACACAGTTGTGAATTTATAAATACACTAACTGCCAATACAGAAATTCTATCTATTGATAGTCATAATTGACAATAAACACTCCGTGAATGTGATAGCGATGTCATAAAAAACTACAAACATACAAACATACAAACATATAGGTGAAACTAATATAAGCGTGTTAATAAATATAGTTTAAAAAACCAAAAACACACGCTTTTAAAGTACATCGCTTTAAAATATACGTGAGGCGTATAGCACGCGATATTGGTCAGTCAAACAAAATACTCATAGTTAGGCACTGCTGATGAAGGTGACACGAGTGTCGAGGCCGTGTCTCAATAAAGATTTGTCTATATATATGTATACATATATATATATATATATATATAATATTGATGACACGCAAGCGTGTACGGGTACGAAAACCAAAATAAAATTATACAGGAATAGTGTTGCCGGCCTGTGGTGAATGCGTTACGACAGTCTAGTCTCAAGGCCGAAGCCGACAGAATAACACGTGGCGTGTGGAGAGTTACAAACATACAAACATACATACATACAGGTGAAACTAATATAAGGATGTTAATAAATATAGTTTAAAAAACTAATAAAACACGCTTTTAAAGTACATCGATCTAAAAAGTTTAAAATAATATTTAGTTCGATGTGCTTTAAAAACGTGTATTTTTAGTTTTTTTAAACTATATGTATTAAATAGTGTGTTGAAAAACTAACTTATGGAAAACCACAATGCGTCATAGTAAATACCTTTAAACATAACATATATTTTATTTATTACCTTGACTGAAGGCTAATGGCTGAGGTTTAATTATTTATTAATAAAGTTGAATGCAGTAAAACATATGTTCTAATGATAAAAATGTAAGAAAATAAAGGGCTACAATTTTAATTCACACATTAATTCATTTATTTATTTGAATCTTCTTTCAGTAGCAGCTACCATTATTTTTAATTTTTAACTTTATTTCAAATAAAACTGTTTTTTTTAAGCTTTATTATTTCAAGAATGTTTCTAGAGATCATGACAAGTATGCTAAATAAAATGATCTATAATAATGGTTTTTTAGTAAATAATATGTTGATTTATAAATTAGAAAATTATTAAGAAATTATACACGAGCTGTATGAACTATGTAACTATTTCAGTGAATTTTGGTGTGTTTAATATAAATGTATTGTTGTTACTTTTTTACTTCTATTAAACTTTTCTACAACTACATTTTTACTATATTAAAGAAATCAAATTACTATTAACTAACTAAAACTGATAATTAACTAACAAAATTATCAATTTAAAGAATATTTTAAGGTCACATGCTCAATAAGCGAATCAAAGACTAATTATTTGACAGACTAACTAAAATAATTAAATAAAATTAATAATATTTTTATTATAGTTTTAATTTTATTTAATTAATTAGTCACAAGTAATCAATTTTTTTTATATAATTAAAATAACATTCATGTAAAAATCACAAAATTTATTATTTTTTTTTTTACATACATTTTGTTTGTGCGATCCAACCTGTGTAGGTTATTATTTAGAAAATAGAGACAATTAGGTAAATTTTAGTAGTATTACACGTAAAATTAGATAGTAATCATGTAGTATAACCCTCACCTGCCAGGTACCGTATCCAACGATTGGTATGCTACCTGTTCCTGATTTGAATTTGAGGTATTCCATGTTGTTAAGTGGTGTGTATGCGTTTAGATTGTAAGATATACAGACACGTACTGTTGACTGCTTGGATACTATAGTTGGAACTGAACCACTAAATTACTAGCACTATCAGTCATGGTCATTTCATATAAGTCTAAGTGGGAGAACAAGATATCAAAAAAAAAAAGTTTCCTCTTTTATTATTCGTTCCATGCAATACTCCAACTAATTATCTTAATGAAATAATTGTCAACGATGGAATTATAGTTAATGGGTACTTTAAGGCTAATTTGTTCAACTAGGTACGATCTCTAATCTTTTGATGTATCGTTGAGAAAAAGTAGTGAGAGTCAGAAAAAAAAAATTTTTAAAAAATGATAAAATTAATATCTTTGTAGCTTCGCAGCGCATATCAATTTTCGACCTCATACAGTGTACTTGAAACTGATATAAAATACTCTTTAAAAATTGATTATAGACATAGCGTAAATTTATAGAAATGAACAAGAAATTGGTATAGTTTTAGTCAAATGGATTTCATCAGGTACACTTTTTCAAAACAATAGAAACCCGTTTCTTTAATTACTGATTAATATATAAATTATTCAATAATAAACATTACAGTAAAAATAACAATCAATAAATTAGATGTAAAATGGGAAATAATAGAGTTGAACATATTGCACTAAAAAAGTACATAAACAAACCGAAAATTCTCTTAATTTTATTGAATGATGGAAATAAATAATATTATTGACACATAATTTCAATTTATTTTTAAAGTGATATCCTTGAAATTATTAAACTTATTTAAATGAGAAGGGTTCAAATTTTGTTCATTATTTTTAAGACAAATGAATGAACCTGTTCCTTTTCTGTAATCCTGATCTCTGTTAAAAAAATTTACTATAATAAAGCTAATTAGAATGTATACAACAATTAAAAAATATACCTTGAAATTATTTCTTTATTAAAAAATAAATTTATACCAAAAATAGTATACATAACATATATGAATAATTACTCTATAAAAACTGTTCCTTTTCCTTTAAAAAGTGCTGACTTGTGAGAATAAATAATTACTAATTAGTGACAAGATTTCAAATAGATCTTCAAATTGTTATTAGTAACATATTTAATATAAAAAAGAGCCAATACATATTCATTCTTGAAAAACATAAGTTCATTTATCTCTCGGAAACGGATATTCTGGATGATTTTGAATGCTAAAAAATTAATTTTATTAACAAAAATTATTTTATTATACAATCATTAAAATGAGTTTAGAAATTTATCTTATCTAAGCCACTACTTTTTCCGCGTTGAGTGAATTTTATTAAATAAAATTTACAAGGCTGGATATAACATATTTTTTAACTTGTTATGTAATTTCGAATATAGAAAGATGAGTGAAAAGATAAATTGTATATATAGTCTTGAAAAAACTTGTTTTTCCTGACTACTTGTTTTCTATATATAAAAAACCTCCGAATTTGATCAAATAAATTATTTTGATACAAAATATTATCGTTTTTCGTATTTTCATAAATTTCAATATAATTTTTTTAGCTTCGATGCGAAGCAAAAATTGTATTAATTTTACTTTGATGAGTTTTGTTAATTTATTAACTTCCATGTGAAGCTAAGAAATTTTTCAAAATGCATATAGAAAGTAGAATTTTATCAACTTAACTTTTGAAAATGTTTCAGAAATACTGACATTTTCATATATCTTTTTAAATTAAACCTTATGTAATGAAATTTATTTTGAAAAAAACAAATTTGACCTCTGGACTCGTATCCTTGAAAACTGATATCATTGTTAGAGAAAAACGTATGATTTCCAAGAAAAAATTCTCGATTTTATATTTTTAACATTATATTTCTATAAATTTTTGGAAAATACATGGATCAATAAAATCTTTTATGATCATTACTATTTATATACTACTTTCATTCTACATACTTTTTTTAAATCGGACCTTTCCCATTTTACAAGGGTTAATAAATATTTATACATATAATACACATATAAATCATGAAACTTTGACTCAGGCCCGCGTCGCTTCGTTATACACGATGCCTCGCGACTCGTGCCACCTTATTATGAGCCATCGCCCTGCTATGAGTATCGGCTGATCATTACAGTGTGCCATACGCCACGGTGCAAAGTCCAACATGTGCCGCACGAATAACGACGAACCGCCGCAAATGATACGGGTGTCTTCTTCCCGTTGTCAACATAACAACGTCGAGGATGTACGCCACCGGCTCCGTACGACCGGATTCAACGAACCAATCCGAACCCGTACACCGTCGCCATTATCGCTGCTAACTTTTTGACGCCGAGGATCATGCTGGACACCGAGTCGTGGACGCCAGCGAAAGTGCCGCGATATTAAGCGAAGATTATTATTACTGTGTTCGTTTTTTCGGTTTGTTTGTTTTTTAAAAATAACCTGTTGTTGCTAATTAAAAAACGACCCACGGGTCTCTACGCTCAAAACCAGTGTCGACTACATTATTGCCACGTAAGTCGTGTCAACTGGTAATCAGGATACAAATAAGGAAATAAGAGTTCATGATGCTTTTGGAATAATCCACCAATTTTTTAAAATTAAACACTATCTATAGATTTGAATCGAAGCGTTTTTTATGATAGTGATTTTAATCACTGTCAGATTAATTCTATACTGGACTCAACTATGCCACGTCCCCTATATGCCGCAACATCACTGTGCTGGGCTTTATTCAATTATTTATGTGCATCTTTTAGGTATAACCACCCCATTTAGAAAATATTAATAAAATATCCATTACTTATTTCTAAAGGTGAATTTCAATATACGTCCATTTTCTCCCTGATCTTCCGCATTCAAAGCTTCCATTTCATCATCGCTCAATTTAAAGTCAAATACCTTTTAATATTAAAATAAAATAAAATTATTCATTTAATATTTGATTGGAAATTTAAAATTTGATATTACTTGTATATTTGCTGTTAAACGTTGAGGGTTCGTACTCTTTGGTATAACTATTATGCCTTTCTGAACAATGTGACGTAACAGAATTTGTGCAGGAGTCCTATTGTGTTTTTCTGCTACCTTCAGTACAGTTTCATTTTCCATAAGCTCAGGGTGCTTAAGTGTAAGTCCCAATGATTCTCGGTAAGCTCGAGTACCTAAACACGAATATGCTGTGACAGTAACATTGTTTTCTTTACAAAAAGCAATTAGTTCAGGCTGCTGAAGATATAAATGGTGTTCGATCTGAAGATTATCTGGTTTTATTCTACTGTTGTCTAAAACTCTTTTCAACTGCTTGATATTGAAGTTTGATACTCCAATAGCTTTTGCACGTCCTTTGTCTATTTGTTCTTCCATAGACTAAAAATATAAAGAAATAATTTTCAAACTTAAAATAGTTTGATATATAAATAATAAAATTTAATTGTGAACAAAATAGCGGCTACATAATCATAAAATCCCATAATTATTATATATACAACTAAATAAAAAATTATAGATATGAGGTATTGAGTATGAAGTCATTAGATTTCATAATAAATAATTATTTTTAGCAAAAAAAATTGTATTAATGAATTTCGTATGAAATCTTATTTCATCTTCATCAGTTTCTGTAACAAAAATCGATTTTAAAATGCTACCCTAGTAATTATCTTACCTTCCATATTTTAATATGATCTGTTGAGGTATCCAATTCCATTGTTGTGTAGTCGCCAGGAACTTTACTTATCAAACTGTATGGAACATGAATTAAGTATAGGTCAAGATAGTCCAACTGCAAATCTTTTAAACTTTTTTCTATCGTTTTTTCCAAGTCTTCAGGTCGATTAAAAAACGATGGAAGCTTTAATTATAATAAAAATTTAATTTCTTTTTTTTAGTATACAATAGTTATAATATATAATGAAGTTGAACCTTTTAAAAAAAAGTATATGTTTCTATACCTTAGAAGTAATAAAAACATCTTCTCTGCTGATTTTACCAGATTCAAACCATTCTTTTAACACTTCACCAATAACCTGCTCATTACCGTATGCGGTAGCAGTATCGATGTGCCGATAACCAGCTTTTAATGCTTCATTTAGAGCTGTTTTAAGTTCATTATCTTTTGCCTAAAATGTCCAAATAAATTATTATTAAAACATTTTGACATCATTTTTTAATATGATAGAACTGTTTCCAGTGAAAATAACGTAACATAGATTCTCGAAATTAAATAATAAAACTTTATGATTAATTACTTTTCGAAACATATTTATAATGGTGCATATTAATGATTTTGACATAGTTTATTTTATTGTATTAAAATGCATGTAACGTCATAAATTCGATGGCATATAATTTTTTGTTAAGTCTACTTATTTGTTTATATCACCCAAGAAAATGCGTTAATGAATCTTTTTCTGACACAGCGGTGTCAACAATTCATTGCTGACCGCGAAATAAGGCAACAAAAGAGAATAAATATAATTAAAATCAAATTGTTTAACGGTAATGATCCCTCCCAAAATGACTGGCCGTTATCGATTTGAAATCGCTGTGAGATTGTTATTGACTCTCTTGTCCTTCTGTCTTTAATCGTGCTTAAATGCATATGTTTATTGTTTTTATGTCACTATTTTTTCAAGGATAGAGATGAGCCGCCTATGCAGAATGGCGGCTAAGAACAACGTGGTTTACCACTTGCATAACGACTAGCTATAGTAAAAAGCGTCGCCACCACCTAGGCAAGGTGTCATACTTATTAGATGTGATTACCGGACCATAAATGATTATAACACCTCGTGGATTATTAACCAATATTAGTTTATTACAAATTTATGATAAATTACTAATCGAAATATATTAATGGTTTTGACATAGTTTATTCCATTGTATTAAAAAGCAATAAAACCACATATAGGTTAATTTAACAGCATTATTATTATTGATATATTCTATTCATTATTAAATACCTTAAATAATTGCTATGAGCCAAAATATAAATATGACACGTCTTTTGTTATCAAATTTAAAATAAATATCTTTGATACAATAGTAATTTCAATTGACCCAATAAAAAATGTCAATTCACAATGAACAATAACAATTTTCTTTTTAAATAAAAATTATAAAAGCTAAATACAATATAGTCATAAGTTATAAACACTTTTAAGAGAATCTAAAAACTAGAGGAATTCAGAGCTTAATTAATTTTTAAATATTAAAAAATAAGAAGTGAAATTCCATAACACATCATTGGATAAAATCATAGGTGAAACTAGAACAGGTCCGGCTAAACTATAATCTGATATATATGTTCCTTTTCCAATATAATCGAAAAACAGACAAATAATATTTTCACTAAATTGTTAAACGTAAATTATGATAATGTAAGAATAAATGAACCAAGTAATAACAATAATAGTTATAAAGAAAAAAAAACCTAAACAATAATAGACAACGTTAAGAATTTCCCACCGATTTAAAACACAATAGAATAAAAGTTGAATTTCAAATCTCTCATTTTATCAATGTGAATGATTATAACGATTCATAAGTAATCTTATACAAAAATATCGTTGAATATTGAATAGTAGTTATCAATCATATTATAATGCGCTTTGACTACATTGGAACGTATATTAAATGAAAGGAAATTACATAAGGTATTTATATAAAAACAAATTATTTTGAATCGTTCATTTTTTAAAATGTTATGATTTTATTAAGAAAAGTAAATTTAAAAATGACAATAATTACCAATTTTAAAAATCGTAAATTTTTGGGAAATTTACAGAGAAAATTTTCAATTTTTAAGGGCAATGTTTTCATCTAGATACGATTTGAGATCTTTTGACGTATCATTGAAAGAAATGAGTCCGGCGAGAGATGATAAAAAAGTGATGACAGAAATAAAAAAATATAACAAAACACGTCATAAAAAAATAAATACCTCCTTAGCTTCTCATTGAAGCTAAAATTATACTCAAGTTGTATAATTATATAACTATTCGAGTGATATTTCGAATATTTAATGTAAATGTATTATAGTTTTTTTTCTTTAGAAAAATATTTTCTTCTTATTTTTTTAACTTCTATTAAAGAAATAAAATTACTATTAACTAACTAAAATTAATAAGTAACTAACAGAATTATCAATTTAAAGAATATTATAAGGTTGTGGTATCCAATTGGTAAACCAATTTTTTCAGGGATGCCAATTTCTATGTGATGAACTAGGTGTTCTAAGTCCAAGTTCGATCACGCGGATAAGTGTTGTCAGAAAGAGTCAAAATAATAACAATTATAATGTAACATTCACTGTTTGAACACTGACCACCGAGTGAGTGATCAGGTCCCTTTTTATTAGGAATAATTAACTATTAATGATATAAATAACAATATTACACTTTTTAATTACTATAGCTTCTAATAATTATAATATTTCTTACTTTCTAGTTATTAATAATATAAATTCCTTAAAACTAATATATACATAATAATTATGAGTTCATAACAAGGTCACAAGCTCAATAAGCGAATCGAAGACTAATTATTTGACAGGCTAACTAAAATAATTAAATAAAATTTTTATTATAGTTTTAATTTTATGTAATTAATTAGCTACAAGTGATCAATTTTTTTTATATAACTAAAATAGCATTCATGTAAAAAACACAAAATTTATTATTATTTTTTTTTTTACATACATTTTGTTTGTCCGATTCAACCTGTGTAGGTTATTATTTAGAAAATAGAGACAATTAGGTAAATTTTAATAGTATTACACGTAAAATTAGATAGTAATCATGTAGTATAACCCTCACCTGCCAGGTACCGTATCCAACGATTGGTATGCTACCTGTTCCTGATTTGAATTTGAGGTATTCCATGTTGTTAAGTTATGTGTATGCTTGTATATNTTTGAGGTATTCCATGTTGTTATGTAGTGTGTATGCGTTTAGATTGTAAGATATACAGACACGTACTGTTGACTGCTTGGATACTATAGTTAGAACTGAACCACTAAATTACTAGCACTATCAGTCATGGTCATTTCATATAAGTCTAAGTGGGAGAACAAGATATCAAAAAAAAAAAGTTTCCTCTTTTATTATTCGTTCCATGCAATACTCCAACTAATTAGATTAATGAAATAATTGTCAATAATGGAATTTGAGTTAATAGGTACTTTAAGGGTAATTTGTTCAACTAGGTACGATCTCTAATCTTTTGATATGTATCGTTGAAAAAAAGTAGTGACAGTC